GTATGTCGGCGATCTACGCTTGTTTTAGTTGACCACCTTTTCTTATATCTTTAGGGAGAGATCGATTAAACTTATTGTGATTTTTTAATATGTAAATTTAGAAAGAAGAGAAACCCGCTGAGGGAATGCATGCAAAAGCAACAATGTGTGAAATTGAGTGAAACGGATGGACAAGTGAAGAAAAGGGAGGAGAGACAAAAAAGAAAAGAAGATCAAACAACATATATATATATAGACAAGTCAACAAAATAAAAGGAAGTCAAGAGTCATCTTTAAACTATTCAGTTAAGATGAATTTTATCAGACATACTAAGACGGATATGCTCTACTTCCGGATAACATAACATCAATCAATTGAAGAAGAAAAAATGTTTTTTTCTCATGAAGAGAAAATTATTGTTTTGAAATTGACAGAAAAATATTCATTAAACAAATTGATTATTTCAAACAAGAATAAACATATTACTGGTACTTCTAATGACTTTCTTGTAGAAAGACAAGGCAAACGAATGTTGCAATTTTTTAGTGTTATATTCAGACGTAAAGTATCGATTGATGTGTACTCTAACGAGAGAATATTTCTAAGTGTCAGATCGCTTTTGACTGATGCCTATGTGCATGAAGTAGGTTTTAATGAGCTATAAATACTCTGAAAAGAGTTCGGGCTATTAACGTATTACTGCCAACATACTGTATTTTTTTAGCAGATTGCTATGGCTTCTCTCAGCAACATCAGGAAAACTGATTGTCGCATATTGGTTTGAAACTTTGCACAGAGACGAGTCCTAATTAGAATGGTTTTTGTACAATTTTTAGATATTTTTATTATTTTTATTCTAAGATATGGCTATGGCAAAAGTATTCTTTACACATCGTTCATATAAAACGACAAATTCCTGTGTTCATCTTTCAGAAATCGAAAAATCTAAAACTTTCACAATAAGCTATTCTCATTAAGACTTATCTCTATACAAAATTTCAAGTCGAAACTCATTTTTCTTGATGTTCCTGAGATAGTCATGGTTTTCTGCTAAAAATACAGTAGTTCGAACTCTTTTCAGGGCACTCATAGCTTATTAGAACTTATATGATGCATATAGTCCCAACTCAAATACGATTTGACATATAGAAACGTTCCCTTGTAAGTTGCTTTGAAAATTATAAATATCATACCTAAAAACAAACGTATCTATGTTTAATGTGTATTATTTTTCGAAGAGGTAAAGTACAAATGAATAATACATAGACTTTTATATAATAAGAAGTTATTTTTTAAATGTTTAATCTTCTCAACAGCTGAAAAAAATTCGAAAGTTTCTAAGAAATATTTATTTACAGTCTTTTGTACACTTATTTGAAGATATATTGTGGAAATTCTTCCACGATAGTAAATAAGACAATTGATTGTTGCGTAAATTTTGTATGATAGTCTCATGCATCATAAAGCACGAAAGTACGTTTAAATTTTTTGAATTCAGAGATATATTAAAGAACGAGAAAATCTGAAAAGATATGGCTACATCTCACTGCTCCTCTTTACGTGATAAGCGATTCAACATAGATTATATTATTTTATCCGGTACATTAAAAAGAAAAATATATCTACTCGATGATAGCAACTGAAGGCGAATATTATTCATTGTTTCATTGATAAGAAGGATGATTCATACATATGAAATTAATGTTTACGTATTTTTATAAAGAATGTAAAACAAAAAGAATAATATAATGGTGAAAACCTTTCTTTTTCATTACATAGGCAAAGAAAAAGTCTTCTAGGAGGAAAAAGTAATATGAAGAAGATGAAAGATCAAGTTTTGATAATGAACATGATTGCGGTTCGATGTCAACTAGTATAAAGTAGTGACAATAAATTAACTTTGATCTGTTTTAATTGCGGAAAGGCTAATGACACTTAGAATCATGTCGATAAGCATCATGAACATGTTTCAAGGCTAATTTGATTTATTATATGTCAACCAAAATACTTTCCTTCAAAAGTCTAAACATACAATAGATATCATTCCAATCATGATGGATATTCAATTCACGAAATCTGAAATCTATGCTGGAATGATATATTTTCACTAACAGTTGCTTTTTGGATCGAAATTTGGTGTAAGCATACAGAGCTACTGATGTACTTCTCTATGAAAAGAAGAATTCGATATCAAAAGATTAGTTGTGTTCTTTAGAGATTTTTTCGTATTGATAGAAGTATTGAACTTTGATCGTAATTACTGTTCTATTCTTCTATAGATTATGTTGTTGTACTTTGTTTCTTATTATGAAATCAAAATTTTTTAAATTATTTAAACTTATTTTTTTTTTGCAGCTATAGAAGCACTCTATCTTAGGCATATAATTGATCGTAATGTACATCGTTGATGCGAAAACAAAATATGGAATTTTTCTATTGTACAGATGTTTTAATAATAGTAGGAATTTTGTAAAACAATTAAAAATCATTTGTCAACTCTTTTTTCTTAGTTTTTTATTCGAATTTTTTATATGTAGAATACGGTGTGTAACGACTGCATTCGAAGCTATTATGATTTAATCAACAGCATTAAATAATCAATTTAAATACCTACCAGAGTCGTAACCGTTCGAGAATTATTGAACTGATGCACTCCGATCGGTTTGCTGGATCATTATTAATCGGTTAATTGAAGCGGCTTCAAAAAACACTTATTTTTCTTTTTGTACTGAGATCTTTTACGGATCTTCACAAAGAACTATAATATCTGTTAGGTTTCTCAAACATGAGTATGTGATGTTTATATATATATATAGAATGAAGCAAAAAGATTCATTTATCTGTCAACTGATTGCTGAACTCAAAATCTTGAATTTTCTCTTTCACGAGGGAAAGTCAGCAACTGTTCAATCGGCTTTTAGCTAAAACCTATCCGAGCATAAGCAACAAGCAACGATGCTGATTCCGAGTATCAACATGTTTTTTGCCGCTAGATGTTCAAAGATCTGGTCATTTGGAAAACCAATTTTTTCTATAACGAAAAATGTTTTTGCAAAAATATTTTTCGTCTATCTACTACAGTAGTTTGTTGGACGTTTCCAATTGAGTGTAAAACATTTTCTTCAATATTTGAATCATTACAGAGGAAACTAGAGGAATAGGAAATCTTAATTTTTATTTTCTCTCATGCTTTTCTTTCAACATTTAGATTCTATAATTTTTATTATTAACTTTTTTTTCTTTATTTCAGACGTCATTCGATTCATTTTCAGGTTTTTCATTCAACTTTTGATCTACTTCAAATCATATTATTATAACATATCTTCCGTTCTTCTAATTAAGCAAGTTTATGATTACCAGGGAAAGAATTATTTTGCACTTTAGTACTGATTATATTCTTACTAATTCACTTTGTCTGAAACTTTATTAACCATAAATCCTGTCAATATTATAAACTATCAATCAAGTTTAATTAATACGAACCTAAATTTAGATTGCATTTTACCTGTCAATCAAAATAAACGTGACTGTGCGGTATGTGTGAAATAGAGACTTCACCTTCACTCACACCCTTTTTAACCTAAAGACTCAAAAGATCAGAATTCGGAAGTTCTTTAATGAGCTAAAAATGTGTTATAGATGCCTGAATATAATGACAGATCATAATGTAGTGCAATAGCAATGTATATTGGATTCTGGGATATATATACTTAGGGCATACCAAAAGTACGGGCAGTGACACGTTAATACCGTATAATAGGTTAAGATAACTTTCTTTCTGTATAGTCTGATAGAGAAAAAAAAGCTCTATCTTTCTATGCTATTTGATCATACTTCAACTAATATTATAATATTAAATTATCTATAAAACCGATTTCGGCTGTTTATGAGCTGGTTGTACTAGATAACAACGTGTGAAACAGATTAGTTATCAATCGCTTAATACATTGTATGAACAACCAAAATATACCATAAGATGCAGCGTGAAAAGCTCTACAACTTATATAAGATCGCTTCTTTTATAGCTGCACTTTTTGTTTCAATAATGGACAAAGTTTTGACGAAACAAATTTTGGGCATTGCAAAAATTGTTTGCATAGAATTTCCCTTTTTCTGAAAACAATTACAANTGTTGAGAATATAGGTGTACTTCTCCTCATTCAAACTCTAGATCCACATATATCATAGGTAGTAGAGCCACGAGACTTGAATAGGTTGACACCAAGACAAATAAAAGCTAGTGTAGGCTCTGTAATGTAAAGATTTTCTAATGATGTTTAAATTTTATTTTCTTCTGACAAATGATGGGTTGTTATTAGGCATGTGTGGTTTCAAATTGAATGCATAGAAAGTTTTCGATTAGATAGAAGGATATCACTTTAATTGTTTCTTATATTTATTTTTATAGTTAATTTTATTCAATGTGATATTCTGTTGGAAAATGAGCGGAGTTATCATTTTGCTATTCTATATAATATATGTCGTGTTTTGACTAATATACTATTTTCTATCCTTTTTCATCTTCTGATCATTTTGTTAATTCATCTTTTTGTTTTTTATTCCAACTTATATTGTTGTAATGTGAAATCGATTTTCTGTGGCATCACTTTTTCCATCTTGCTGGTCGACACCTTGTATTACACAGTTGAGAAAGTACTTGACTCCTTTTACTTCTTACTTTTTTATATACATGAATACCTCTCATTTTCCAATAAAACTCTTTATTATTCGTGAAGTTACATATATTCGTGTACGATGATAAGAATGTGTTACATTGAGTGTGGGGATATTGTTCTAGTGAGTACCAGTGTTCAGTGGACACATGGTTGGTAAAATTAATGTTAGTATTTACACTATAGAACCACGCGTTCCTAGTTATTACAAGGTCAGTGCATATCTGATTTCAGGGTGTGGGTATGAGTGTGGATAACCATAAAGAGAAAGTAACATCCGTACCCACTAATTGAAATATATTTTTCATGTAATCAACGGAACGTAAATCTTTTTTTTTTATTCAATCTTACTTGAATTTTTCAAGAAATGGATGAATATTATCATACAAAATATATGTATGATTATGATTAATACCTAATTGATCAATATTAATTATAATATCAATATGTTCAGGTTCAATTGGATGTAAATTATCTTGATTAGATGATTTGTCTATTTTATAAGGAAATCGTTTTTCTAAAATAATTTTACTTAATTCAAATGTTCCATAATAATTCCAATTTTCACCATTAATAAACAAAATAACGATATCTTTATTATTATTATTTGAAATTAATAATTGACTTAGATTAATTCTACCTAATAGCCACGCTAAACCAAGTAATGTAACTACACCAAATGCTGTTGATTGAGCACCAGCATCTCAATGATAAAAAAAGTAAACTAGAATAAAATTTAAAAAAAAGACATCAATCTTCTTACTTCTTGGTTGAAAAATAGAAAAGAAATCAAATTTAGTATAAAATATAATAACAGATTTTGGAGGACGAGTATCTTTTATTGAAATTGCATTGAATATACTCCAAACAATATTTATCATTAGACTTCGACATTTAATAGAATAATGTTTAAAATAAGCTTCACCTAAATTGAAAAAATATATATTAAATTTTATCTAGTCAATAATTTATATTTCATAAATCCTAAAATCTGGATTTTTTTTTTATTTACAGAACTTATTCAAGATAATTCGAAGAAAGTAGTACATACCATAGCAGAAAAATGAAGCGATGAACAATACTATCAAGAATACATTTGTTGTTCAAAAGTACTGCGTGTAATGTTCAATTGTGAGTATTATCAAGTTCGAATTGATTGCTACACAAGAGAGAACTTTCTTATATATTCATTTGCTTTTGAACCTAGCGCTATTGTATCTTTTAAACTTTAGTCAACTAAATCTCGCATTAAATGATTTCGTGATTATAGACTGTTTTTGAGATGATCAAGTGATTTTATATGAATTTTTCGCTGGACGACTCTATATTTGAGCCGAGATGTAGAGCCTTTAAGGTATAAGGCCATTTTCCATAAATACCCTGGACAAAAAAACATCAGACAATAGGTTATGTAAAATCGGATGACTACTCGCACAATACATCCTAGTGTCAAAAATCTTACACTGAACCATACTATGAGATTCTTGAAAAGTCTAACTGTCTGATTGTTTCTCCCGGGTAGTAATATATCAGAAATAGGATGGGTTCGGCTCGGTCATTGGTCTCATTGGTTCGATTCGAATACTGTGAATCGATCCTATTTCTGGTAAATACAGCTTGTATTCTGTGACAACTTTATATCTCGAAGAGACTTATCTCAAAGATTCTAAAACTTTTTATAGAAGTCAGTCTAACGGAGGTCTGTGTACAGACAAAGTTTGAAGTGGAAATTCGAAAATATGCTTTCGCTGCAAAAGTAGACATAATTCATGAAATTTTACAAAATGCATTAAGTTCCCGATTAAAAAGCGAAATAATAACTGAGAATATTTTCTTGTAAGAATTACAAATGTTCTGTTTTTCTCTCTTATTCATCATTCAAGATCTTTTTCTTTCGAGAATCAGTTCATTTCTCATAAAAAATTTACCAAAAAATGTTGATTTTGATCGACGATTGCAAACTTGAGCATTTTTAATACCATATGGATAAGATTTCATACTATAGAAAAGCAAATTTCTATTTATTTTCATCATAAATCAAAAGAAATCTAACTGTGCATTAATATATTTTCCTTTTGATATTTGTTGTTGATTATATAAATAACTAACTTTTCTTAAATCATCAATCATTGTTTGATTAGTTAATAAAAAAATTGGTTTATCAATAGATATTCCACGAAAATCAATACCATATTTATTTATTCTAATCGAACAATTTGTTGATTTTGATAAACCAATAAAATCTTCTGGACAAGTATTCACTTCTGTAAAATGTGTATCATTTATATTCATTATTTTTCCATCGATAAGTATACCAACAATCATCGGAGCATGAAATATAGCAAAATCAAGTATATCTTTTCTTGGTGGTATGAGAACAATAATTGGATAGGAATACTTATATGACAGAAGATCATTTAATGATGATATATCAATTAATCGACCACGATTACCTGATTTATGTGATGAACAACCAGTCATAGAATTTTTTGTTAAATAACGCATACAAAAATCAAATGATGATGTCATATACATATTTAATTGAATTGAACGAAGCTTTAATGTTAAACATTGAGTATTTAATAAGATAAATGCAAGATAAATACGATTGAATAAAACATTATTTATCATTGTTAAGAAAAAAACAACAACAATGTTGTAAGGCGCCAATGATTAAAAGAAATTATTTAATTTTCTATAATCCATTCGCCGGGATAGCTCAGTTGGGAGAGCGTCAGACTGAAGATCTGAAGGTCCCTGGTTCGATCCCGGGTCACGGCATATTTTTTTATTTCTGTTTTGTTATAGTTACGAAATGAAATAATTTTATTTTTTTTTTTCGTTATATATTACATACGAATGATTTTGATGACAAAAGATTTAAGCAATTGTATGATGATTATGTTTTGAGTCTTTTTTTTTCTCTTATATTTTCTCTATAGCATCTTTATTACATTGTCGTTTATTGGAAACATCACTTGGTTGTTCAATAACGATTGAATATGAAAAAAATGAATGGCAAGAAGATATACAATGTATTATTCGTTTTCATGGACGACATTGTTTATCGCCTATGTTTCCTATTGAAATAACACGAGATGGTCGAATACAAATGAATTTTGTATATAAAGATGTTGGAGAAGTTAATAAATTTTATTTATGATTATACGAATAACTAAATAAAGTTTTATTTTAATAGATTATGGCTATTGAAATTGAATTATTATCGAATAAAGATGTAGGATTATACATTAAATGGATTGAAATAAGTATTCCAAGAAAATCATATTTACAAAAGTAAGTTTAATAAAAGATTGTTTTTCTTTTTGTTTGTTAATTCTATTAGATTTGATGTACAACGTTGGCTTCATCCGAGTATGGGTGATGGACGAACACGATTAATTTTAACTCCAAATCAACTACCAGGTTATGTACCTAAGAGTAAATAAAAACTTCGAAGTTTTTTTTTATGCTGAATTCAAAACATATAGGAATACTTGAAAATATTGAACAACCAAAACGAGGTAAAGTTTTCTATTCATATAGAAAGTAATCGTTATTCGAATATTAGATAATGTTAAATATATGTTACTTATTGAAATTTCACAAGCAAAAGGAAATGTTGATGGATCAATGTTATCGATCAATCTAATCGGAAGTAAGTACGATTGATATAAGAATAAAAGATATAGAAATATGTAATCAACAATAGCAAAAATGCAATTGGTCTGAAATCCAAACCAACAAATGGACTAATGAGTTGTCGGACTATTCTATCTATGGATAGTGAGATTAGACATAGTCAACTTCTAACAAAGTTTTCATTACACATCTTCTATGAGATGCTGAGAGTAAAAAAGTTAATAAGACAAACTGACTGATAATCGCTACCGTTTTCATCTGTGAACTTTAGTCTAATACTACAAGAAAAAAATACAAAAAGTTGTTTTTTTTTTTTGTGTAATTCAATTCTATATCAGACCAAAATGGAGCATGGCTACTTTCCATTTGACTTTGATTCTTAATAAGAATTATTTTTCGAAATAAGTTCTATTAGCATAGAGATATGAAAAAATGTCGACTCTTTCAATTGACTATATCATAAGAGAAAAATTTGAAAAACTTTTGAATCGTATCTATAGTGAAATTCTCGCCAAGCTCGTACTGCAAGAAACTTCCCTTGAAAAACTAACTTTCTAGAGATTCTGAAGAAGGATGAATAGCGTTTGGAATTAGTTTTGAACTTTTTATTCGTATTTTTTCGTTTGTATATTCTTATTCCGTCATGTCGATGATGAAAAGTAAATGAATATTTTTGAAAAATCTAAGCATGGTCATAGATACAGATTTTGTAGCTTTATGAGTTTTTCATAGAATGTATTATAGAGTTTTCAAAAATTCTATCTCAATTCGAAGTTGTTTTAAATTGAATTTCATGAAGTGCAAGTCGACGGTTCTTTTTCCGATCACGTTGCTAACATTATTTCCTTACTGATAATTTCTCTGAACAAAGGTTTCCAGCGCTGATGTTTTTAGGATATTAAAAGACATGTAATCTAGAAAAACTCATTATTCTGAGATACATGTATTTTAACTTTGAAAAATTAACGAATGATTTTGCCCATATATCAAATCAAAGTTCTAGAGAATCTAATAATTATTGTATATAGGATACGGTCGAACATCGGCACACCGAATAAATATGATATATAATACAATTACCCCATTAGAAATTCGTACTCGTCCAAATATTTTCGAATTGACTATGCTCGATGTTGGTTTATTACATGAATATCAAATAAGTCTCGAAAATCAACAACATGATGGTGCTTATTTTATTTCAACAGTATATATCTATCGTAAACAATATTATGAGTAAGTAACTGTCGAATAGAATAGTTTTAACATCTTAATTCAGAATTAATATTCAACAATGGATTGAAAATGGTCAAACATTAAATGGTCATATACGGCCATTAGATATGCCAATAACATCAACATTATTTAATCAAGTTCAATCAAGTAAATAAATATAATTTTCAAAACTTATATGAAATATTTATTTTTATTCAAAGAATCATCATTTATTCTATGGATAACTGCTTCTGATTTAATTACAAAAGAAATAATATTACCAATTGAATTTAAATTTAATTGTCAAAATACTATTACAAATCCCGTAGAAGAAACAATTACTATTCGAGCTGATTTTGTATCAGTTTTAGCTTTATCGACAGCTTGTACAATGCCTGTATAGACTACCTTTCTCTTTGTATTTATTTTAATTGAAATTTATAATTTTAGTTAAATTCTATTACACTTGGATATAATCGAAAATTAATCGATTATTGTATAGGAAAAGAAATTGTTATTCTTAATGTATTTCAAGGTCAACATTTTTAGTATAGTTTTTATATTCAATTAATTTAAATTTCAGAAAATTTCTTTTTTTTTGTTTTTCTTTAAAGTTTTCAATATGATAATGAATTACCAAAATCAATCAATGACATGGATTTTTATTCGTTTATACTTGAAAAAAATGTTTTCGCATCAGTAGCACATCATTGTATTTAAAAAAAACACACAAGACTTTTTGGAATTTTTAAATCTTAAATTATTTATCTCTTTTTGTTTAGCTAAACAATATATCATATCAATTTTAACATCAGAAAATAATTTATCAGAAAAACATACAATTAAAATTGTTCTTCGTGGTGAACGAGGTTTAACAACAATGCTTTCATTACATAATTCATCATGGAATAAAATACCATTTAAAGCAAAACATAAAGATAAATTTTTATTACTTGCATCAGATATTGGAAAAGTAAGACAAGAAAAATATTCTGTCACACAGATTTTGAAATTATTCTTTTTGTCAAACACAACCTAAAAGGAGTGTTAAAGTATATAGGGTAGAAATTTGTGTCCTTCCTTTTTCTTGAGACCCGTTGTATCGAAAATTTTCATACCCATATCCAGGTCCAACTTAATAGGATCTATTCTTCCCAACAGATCATTCATTCATAGTGTCTTATACAGGTACGATTGACCGTTCCCGAACTCGGACTAGATGTCAGGTACTCGATCCGGTCGTAGAATACTAAGCTAAGCTATCATGACCAGAAATTTTGACACCATTGATACTCTTCGGTGCCATAACTTTGATAGACCACCGTATATCAAAGGCTAGTGAAAAAATGTGTTTGGAAATAGATGGAATAAAACAATCTCTGAGTGCTTAGCAAGAACAACTACATCGTGTTTCATATTTTGCTTCCATAGAGATTATACTAACAGCTTTGTTTTTTAGATAATAGGTTTAACAATATTTCATGCAAGCGAAGAAACAAAATTTTATTTTGATATTATTGAAATATTTGTACCAGATACAAAAGCATGTATTCGGTGAGCTGTATAAAATAATATTGTCGTCTAGATAAATTTCCTTTATTTAAAGATTGCAAGGAAAATATGAAATATTTAATGAAATTATTGATTTTAATTGTCGTAAATAGCAAAATCTAAATATCTTCTAAATAATAATTATTTTTTGTTTCATTAGAAGAAGCACAAATTATTTATATAGTTCAAATTAAATCAGGTTTTAGTACATTAAATGAAACAGCCGATGTAATATTAACTCTAATTGGTGAAGAATCTTCTATTGAATGGATATTATTAACATATGATGATGATACTAAACCATTTCATACTGGACAACTTGATACATTTTATATTCCTACGAAGAAATTAGGCAAAGTTAGATTTCTAAATTTTGTTTTTAATAAAAAATTTATTTGAAATCATATTAATAGATTCGTGCTGTGAATATTAGCTGTTCAAATGTGGATAGTAATTGTAAATGGTTTTGTGAAATGATCTATGTTCATGATACGGTCTTTAATATTAAATCTAAGTTAATATTCCTATTGATTTTTTTTCTCATTAAGTATGTAGAATAAGATAGACAAAGGCAATCGAGTATAGTGTTTGTTTTTCTCAGTATGTGAAAGTTCTTCTAATTACATTGCAATCATTCAGAACTATTCGAACCAAATGTAATTTGATTATTTACATGTCTTTACTAAGTGAATAAACATTTGTTTATGAATGATAATGAGAAAATGAAGATGATAATGATTATTGTCTTTTCCGCGTTTTTTTCTTCTAATAACTCAATAAGATTTATGAAGACAGGAGTTATACCCCATATTCTCTTTGTAACTGCGCAATATCTAATATACTACAGTAAATTGAGATATAAATCGAATTATCAGAAGGAGAAAATAGACAAATAAGAAGAAACAACAGAAGATACTTCTAATCAGATCACGTGTGTATAGCTAATGAATAATCTATTCGTTCGTCTAGTGCGTTGTTTTTTCTTTTTCTACTGCACATACTCTCTCAACCATAAAATCTATTAATTTTAAAAAACTAAATACAGAATAAATACAATATTACGAAATAGTCAATTGAAACAAATTATGCCGTCTTAAATAGCTGATAGATTATTTTGTCAACAACATCATAATAGAAATCAAATGTAAACGTTCAATCAAGTTGTTTCAATACTCATAGAGAATTATCGCTTTTGGTCAGTTGAGCAATAGTGCGGCTTTTCAATGTATGCATATATATGTTGTGGATTAAATTGGAATTCGGTTAAAGTCTGCTTTTGCTCAGACAATATTAGAATTTGACTAGAAATAAATTCATACAATCACATTCTTTACCAAGGGGTAGAGTTGTATGGAAAAAAAACGAGAGAAAATTTGTAATCATAGCCATTGTGTCGATGAGCAGTAAAAATATGAATGTATGCGTTATAGTCGAATAAAAAAGTCTAAATTGAATGTAACAATCGTTCAGAGTGAAAAATTCTGAGATGAAAATTTTAATTTTCTCCGGTCAAAATTAGAATGTTCATTTTGCCTATAATATATACATTAGCAGCTCAATGATAATTATATTTTACAAAGTATTAGAATGAAGGAAGAGAATACAGAAGACGAAATTTTTCTATGTATAGTAGCAAACGTAAGCTTAGAAGCAGTTGTAATTTTGAGTTTTCTTTTCGTTAGAAATAGGAAAAAAAGATTCTCTATAAGAATTGGTGGATCTAAAAACTCTAATAAAACTGCTTCGATGAAGGTGTCCAAAAAACCATTTCTCTCGCGTCCATTCGAAGCTTTTTAGAAACTATTTTATTTGATAGAGCAGCATGAGATTTTTCGACTCTCTTCATGAAACTGCATTCACTTTATAGAAGATCCCAAAGCGTCAAACGAGACGCGGTCACTAAAATTGTTCATAACAACAAAACAAAAATATTTCTTGGGTCTTTCGAAAATTGAACGTAGTTCGATGACGAAAGTCGAGACATCTCATTTTGCTCTATCAAATAAAAATATTTCCAATAAAGTTCCAAATTGACCAGCAAAAAAAACATAAATCGACGGTATTAACATTGGATTTGTTATTGTTCGGATACCAGTTTTTATTGTCATAAGAAAAGTTGTTAGTAATTTAGTTGATGCTGGTTGAATTAAAGTTGCTTTANCTCTTTGGTTCGTCGGCGGGCTGCTGTGGGGTGGGGGGCGGCGAGTCTGCCTTCGTTTCCCAGACATGCTGACTCAAGCTCTTATATTGGAGTTTTTAGATCCACAAGTCCTTATAGAGAATTTTTCTAGCTACTGAAGTGTTTTTTCATCGCAAATATGAACTAAATCGAAAAAAAAATAGTTATAAAATGCATTCTGATAAGATACTTATTTTATTCTTCAGTTATATAATTAATCGTTGGTGTGGTGATCATCATGAATCAGAATTTATTGATACATTGAATAAAACAAGTAAAGCAACTTTAATTCAACCAGCATCAACTAAATTACTAACAACTTTTCTTATGACAATAAAAACTGGTATCCGAACAATAACAAATCCAATGTTAATACCGTCGATTTATGTTTTTTTTGCTGGTCAATTTGGAAGTTCACCTATTATTCATTTAAATGAATTAACTGATCGAACTGATATATTTCAATCATTAGAAATCGATGAATTTACTTTTACAATACCTGATACAGGCATGGTAATGATTTACAATTTTTTTTTATTTAAAAAAATACATTCTTGTTTATCAAGTTTAGCCGAATATAATGCGTATTTGGAATACAGAAGATCTTGCTTCATGGACATGTGAATATATAGATATTAAAAATATAACTAATTCAAAAACAGTTCAGTAAGTTAATTTTGTAAAATTCTATGAATAAAATAATATTTTGTTCGATATGTTAAGTTTTCCAATGGGTGTTGATTTACAAAAAGTTGATTCATTATTTTCATCATATATTGATCTTGAAGTTGATATTGGTCGTGTAACACTTTCATTGCCAGGACCACGTAATGATGCTGCATATCCATCATATCAATTAATTATTCGAACTAATGAAGCAATGAATACAAAAGATAGTCTTGTGAATATTCAAATAAAAGGTGATAAAAATCAATCAAAATTAATTTCATTAATTGAAAGTGATAATGATTATTCATTTGAAGCTGAAAAAACTTCAACATTTTTTCTCTATGGTATTTGTTCTCTTGGAGAAGTATAATTAGATAAAATTAAAATAAATAAAATATTTAATTAAATATTTATTAGTTAAAAGAAATTTCAATTTATTTCGAAGGAAATCATAAAAATGCAAAATGGATATGTGAATATATAATTATTTATGATTATTTAAATAATCAATATTATGGTACTAAAATAAATACTAATGTAATTTATGGCAAATATAAATTAGGCATAATTAAAAATATTGATCCTAATGATTTGAGTAAAATACAATAAAAATCTTGTTTTTTTTTTTATATATGTTCGATTTCATTTTTTCTGCTTCTAGATCAAGAACTTGATCGTATAGAAACTGAATTAATCGATGAAAAATTTCGAGAATCAGGTTTAATATTTATTCACTTTTAATCTAAGAAACAATTTTGTGAAACGCAATCTAAAAGGAGTGGGAAGTATATAGAGTAGAAATTTACAGTCTCCTTCCACAGACTATGATTAACGAGCTGCGGTTGGTATTCATAGAGTTTGTACCGGGCCGAGTTCAGCTCCCCAAAAATGTTTATCCGTAGCTCCATAAATTTCATTGCATAGAACATATTCTTGCTTGATCTCGTTTACATAAATACAACTAAAACTATTCCCACACAGCTTAAGATCTCGATGTTACTATTGATCTTACGATTTTCAATGATGAAATTTTATTTATCAATTTTAAACTAAGCCAAAGCTTTTAGTTTATTAAATATCAAGTGATGAAAAAGTGAACAACAATAAATAGCTAAAATGTTGATTTTTTAACTTGTTCATGTAAACAGAAGATATCAAATATTAGTGAAAAAAACTTGAGTCTGAACTCGATAAAGTTCAGATCCACAAAAACGTGAATCTACAGCTCCCTAACCATGACACATGCTTTATCAACACTTCCCCTCACATCACAAACTGTGATAGACCATGCATCAATAACCTTACTTCCTGATTGCATTTCTGAAGAGCTAAGTAAAATGATGGTGAAGAAATGTGTCCCAAAAGAACAATCTTCGTGTGATTAGCAAGAGCAGCTACATCGTGTTTCAAATTTTAATCCCACAGGGATTGTCCTAATAGCTTTTTTTACTGTATTGTATAGATCCAATCTATAGAATATTATGTAAAACTCAAGCAAATGTATTAACGAACATAACACGAAATGCTGAAATTCTAATACGATTAATTGGTGATGAGCCGACATCATTTTTTTCTCTTCAACATCATCGTCCATTAATATCGGGATCTATCAATGAATCATTTTATCGAGGAAATGAATATATCAATGGAGTAAAGTTCTTCATAATTACAAATAATATATATAAATTTCTTTTGTTTGAAAAAAAAATAGTTAAATAAAATAGATCTTCAATTACTTGATAATGACAATACTCGATGGGCTTGTGAATCTATTGAAGTTCAGAATTTATTAACCGATGATATTGTTATGTAAGATAAATAATTAAATAAATTAAAAAATAATTTATCCTTTTCTATTTTTTAATAAAAAAGATTTCCTATAAATGATATTATTGAAGCAACAATAAAAACAGATGTAAACAATAGAAAAATAACAACATGGAAATCAGGTTTTAAAACTGGTATTGTTTATTTTATTCGAGTTCGGACAGGATATCAAGGTGCTTCATTAAATTTTCGTTTTGGTTCTGTATATTTATCATTAAAATTATATGGTGATTCAGGTGTATCAAATGAAATACCATTACGTATTCCATTAGAACAATTATATTATCTTAAATGTAATCAAACAGATACATTTGAAATAGGACAAATGATATCTGTTGTTGGTCAAATAACATCAATTGATATATATCATAATGGAAAAAAAGAAGATTTTTGGTATATTAATTGGATTAATATAATAGATATAACAACAAATAAATCATTTCAGTACAAAACGAAATCAATAGTAAAAAAAGAAAAATTATAAACTATTTGTTTATTTAGTTTTACAGTTGAGAAATATCTCAATAAAGATTTAGGAACGAATTCAAAAGTTCTACATATTCCAGCGGATGTATCAATCAGAAAATCAGGTATAAACATAGAATGATTAATCTTAATAGGAACTGGAAACGATAAGCATGAGGAAACTTAAGCACGCGAACAATATGAAGTTGCCTATAACGTCTATTAAAAGACCAACGAGTGTATGTAAATGTAGATGTTAGCAGAGATGAGATCGCTATCAGTCACTGGTAGACCAATTCCATCTCTAAGTGTTATTCTTCTCTTCATTCCCATCTACACCCATTATCTTCATTATTATTTTTTTGTATGCTTAAATTTTTCGTCTGAAATTTTCTCTGATTCGTTGTTCATCAATTTGTATTAATAAAAAATTTTATTTGAAGAAAATGGATTTGAGTCCATACCTAATTATGCAATACGTATTAAAACTGGTATACAAACACCTTTGCATACAGAAGACACAAATGACTTATCTTCTGCTGTATCGATTGTATTAATCGATCCTGTGAATGATTCTGCTCGTATACCATTAAAACGAATAAATAGTTCTGTACGATCAATATTTCAACCAGGTCAAGAAGATCGATTTGATATTACTATTACACCAATGTTAGAGGTATTCATACGGATATTGGTTCTTGGCAATAAATTATAATCATGGATGTTCGTTCTTTTTCTTTTGTAGTTAAAAGTATTACAAATATATTTTAATGGTACATTTTCTTGGTTTTGTGAACGAATAACTGTTACTGATCAAATCAGTGGATTATCCTATCGGTAAAAATTTTTTTAATATTTTTTAAAATTCATTTTAAAATATATAATTAGATTTGATGTCGAACAATGGTTTACTGAAAATACATATGATAATCCAATGAATGTTCTTGGGCAGCGAGAAGATGATATTGGCAAGTTTGCGTATAAGAAAGAAGGATTTCACAGTCTGTATTCATGTTCTCTGTAATAGTGTTGAAATCTTTGTTATAAGTTTTTTTAAGCCATCTATTAGACACACTGAATACGAAAAATTCTTTATTTTTTTTAAAAGTGATTTTCTAAGCAAAACACAGCCTTTTCCGAGAACGAAATTTATATGCTTGTCTGCCATGTAAAAACTCCACACTATGTTCTTCCTTCCACACATCTTCACCGTTCTTTCATGCGTTTTAGTACTCCTAGTCTGTAAGAATAAATATATGACAAAGAGAGCTAATATTTTATGGAAGTGGAGCTTGTAACCCTATATGCTAAAATCATCTTGAGATATCAGAGAAACAAGACAATAGTAGTTTCGATGTATGATCACTTTTCAGCATCATTGTATTACGATTAACATGTTTCATTCTTGATACTCATTAACATTGAGTAGTACTTTACAAACCACAATATATATTATTAGTACGTTTTCTCATGTATCATACAATCAACTACATTATGTTTCTTTTTTTTTTCCTAATTTCATAAAGATTGTACTAACAGATTTATTATATAGGTTGGATTTATTCTGTAACAATAAAAACTCAAGCTGTTCTGCCAGTACAAACAAGTTTACGAGGAAAAATTCTATTATCAATTTATGGTGAACATGCTTCATTAAATGATACTATCCTTGGCTCAGGACGATTAATGCATGGATTATTTCATGCTGGAGGAGAAGATATTATTGAACTTAAAAGTAACAAACGACTTGGAGAAGTAATTAAATCGTTTTTTTTTCTGTGTTGAAAGTTAATTTGATTAACATTTTCAAACAGATTAATTCAATTGAATTACGTCTTGAAGTAGCTGAATGGCAATCCTGGTTATGTGATATGATTGAAATTATTGATTCAACTGCTAGTTGGGATTTTTTATCACGTACAATGTTAACAAAAACTTACAAGTAAATAAAATCAGTTCCTTTTTAATATTCAAAATGTGCCATTTCAGTATTTTTATTCAGTATGAGATCTGCGTCCTTCAAAAGATTGAATTAACCTTTCCGGAGTTTGAGATTATTGTATCACGTAACTATTCATAGGTCTTCGAGCAATTCAATCCATCCTGTGTTACTTTTTTTATACTAATATTTCTTCTACATCCACAATCCATAGCCTCAAATCTATGAACTTAATAGTAGCTTGAAAAGTCGTAAAGCAATACGGGATAAATTTCATTTCTTATGGATCTCTCTGTACGATTTGTCTTTTATCTTTAAAATAGGTGTTCGCCTTTCCACACTTTTAAAATGTCTTTTCGGAAGAGAAAACCCTGAATAAAACTCTGTATCGTTTGTTTTGTTTAATATAAGATTTCCAATAAATCGTTGGCTTGGTGCACATGCTATGGATAAACGAACTATTATTCGTTCGTTAATAAATCAAGAACCTGGTTATGCTAAAATGCCAACATATATAATTCATATATTAACTGGTACTAAAAATATAAATAATGAATCTGATATTCCAATAAATGTTTATTTACAATTATTTTGTTCAATATCAAATAATGTCTATGGACCTATTCTATTAGATAAATCATCAAATAATACACGACCATTTCGTAAAGGTCAAATAGATGAATTTTATATAAATGATTTATCTTATTGTGGTGAAATTAAAAAAATTCGCCTATGGCATGATGGTGGTAAGACAATCTCATGGCATTGTGAATGGTAATAACAAACAAAAAATATATAATCTTAGAAATTCTTTGTTTTTTTTTCTATTTAATAAATTAAAATAGGATTAAAATAACAAATGTACATAAGAATGAAATCTATGAATTTACAGTTGAAAAAATTTTAGATGAAGACTTAGAAGAAGGTTCAAGTAATTTAATTTTATATAGTGAAATAAAAGATGAAATGAATGAAAGTGAACTTGCTACACCGCAATCAATAATTTCGTAATAAAGGGTGTATAATATATATGTAATCAATCATTGTACAGAGAAAAAAAAGAAGTCCATCTGAATGATATGTATATTTTCTTGTATGTTACATCATCATTAGAAAAATCATCAAAAGGTGACAATCACTTCCTTTTTTTTCTTCTCAGGTTATTTTCTTTCTTTCTTTCTTTTTTTTTTAACTATGATGTAGCTCAAATGTCAAGTTATAGGACAAAAAGAATATATGCTTTAACACGCATATATATTTACGTAAATTGATTGTCAATGTGACGTGACCATTTACTATGGACCATTGGATTGATTCGTATAAAGAAGAAACTAATTGTACAAATGAGGCGTTGATGGAAAATTATTGTTAATTTAACATGATGCGTTCATTTTCTTCTCTCTTTCTTTTTTCTTGAACGGCTCGATGATATATTCTATTGTGCAATGCTTTTTGTTGGATTATACTTCATAGATATATGATGTACGGATGTATGCATCTATACATATATATACATATATAGTTATTTACATGTTAATGTTCATTCATCCGGAAGATAGGGCATTACTATTGAACTGATGAACTTCAATTATTCAACTCTTTTTTTTCCTGTTCTTTTGTTCTTTAACCTTAGCACACAATAGAAAAGAACTAAATAGCGCAGCCTTCGTACCTATAATATAACAAGAATAACATTTATAAAAAGAAGTTAGTAACCATCGTTTTACATGATGATGGCACTATGTACCAAAAATATTCTGAATTCTGTAAGTTACGTCATTATTTTGTTTTGCCGATTCTTGATGTCGATAAGAAAAGATATGATGAAGCACTTGAGAGTGGCTCCAAATATGTCAGGAATGAGAGAGCGACATAGATAGGGTTAGAGAGAAAAAAAAATTTCTTGTATCACACATAGGCACAATTTTGTCAAACGTTTGCATGTTTGTCTATATTGTCAGACATCCTGTCAAGTGATGAAGTGTTCTTGGCTTACAATCACAGTTGACCATACTTACAATTGCTCCATTTATCTCTCATCGTAGTATGCACATATCGTACCAGTTGTAAGCAATTAATCTCTCCCTCCCTCTCTCTCTCGGTTCGTTCTTGTTTGTGCATACATTCTCTTCATTCTACAATAGCCAATGTCACCAAAGCATACAATGTACATATGATTCTGATCAATTTTGATAAAGAAGCAAATATAAAGAAAAGGTAAGTATCATTATATGATACGCTTAATTTACAATGGTTATCTTTTTCTTTTTTCTTTGAGTATATCTATTTTACAACTTTATAAAGAGATTATTCGATCGAGAAAATTTGTATGTGATTCTCTAGTGAGAACGCATCCATCTTATTTTACTGAGTACCCCCCGAGATTCAACATACTAATAGTGCGTTGTCTGAACAAATTATTAATTCAGTGAACGATGCTCTGTCTCCCGTTTTTTTTCTATGCATGTTCTCATCGATTTTATATGCACAAGTGTATACTTGAACATGCGTCTCCGAAATCATACGTATACATAGAATGAGAATAGAGTTCCATATGATGTTAGACTTCCACTTGAACGTCGATTAAAAACTAGTATTGAGCAAATTATTGGTTAGTACTATATGAGATGATGCAAATTATCTAGTACTTAACAATGACAGAAAAAACGGACATAGAAAAAGAGAGAGAGAGAAAAAAAAAGAAACGATAATTATAGAGGAAAACTGGCCGCTGCTAGGCAATAGCATCCATAAATCTGCAGACAAGTCATTCCTCTCCATCTGGTCTCTTTATATTACCTTGTTGATTTACTAAATAAGAGGGAAAAAAAGAAAGAAAAGTAATAAGTCACGTCTAAGATTGATCAATGCATATAGGAAGCCATATATTCTTCATTTACAAAATGATGCGAGATCATCAGACAACAGGGTGGGTCAATTGAACATGATTATTGACCAGTGTACTTTAAAGTAATAATTGGCGTCTTTTTTCTTTTATTTTGAACTACGTGCCTATTGGTAAGATATTCACTATATGATCTCATCAATATGATTGAACGTATAAATGTATATTAGAATAAAAGAGAGAAAAAAAACATGCACTTGAATAAAAGATGATGAACGGCGGCATGCTGTTTGTATTATGACGAGTTTAGACAAGCAAAATACTTGTTCTATTCAATACAAGCGTATTCGTTTTGTTAATATATATCCTTCGATTAAACAAATATAGCACTTACCGTGTTTTTTTTTTGTTTTGTATCTTGATTCTTAGTTAATGGAAAATTGTTAATGAAGATTATTTAATATCATCCAGATGAAGTATGAACCTTGATGGTCAACGAACAGTTCGAGTCCTTGTGATCTCGTTATTGATATTATTTTTAATAATAACATCTATCATTCCTTGTCATGGCTGGCATAAAACATTAACATTTATTCAACAATCATCATATGAATTATCAAATGCTCTAGATTCTCATAATCAAAATCATAAGATTGTATCTAATATGAAATTTTTTATGTGGTATAATACTTATGCTATATATGGTACTCGTGAAACACTTATTTTATTACAACCTGATTCAAATAATTCAATTGTAAGTGAATTTAAACAAAGAAAAGTTTCTTTTTGTTTTTATTAAAATAATTAATTAGATTGAAATATTTTCTTACAATTGGCCTATTGATCAAGTAACAATGGATGAATGTCTTCAAGAATGGAATACAAAAGTATAAATTTAATTCCCAATTATCAATAAAAAAAAAAGAAGTTTTTCTTTTCAAGGATAAATGTTACAATGATGTTGTACATGTTCGAATTTTACCTGATAATACTACAATGAATGTTTATTGTACATATGCACATCGACCAATGGTACGAACATTTGATTTACAATCAATGTCATTTATTAGTGAACATATTCTTACACGTGATCCACATCCTCCAATGGATTCTGAAAGTTCATATGTTATGTTAAATTTTAATACAAATATAATAACAGCTGGTTATCAAGGTGATTATATACCTACAATACGTGCTACTCAAGGAAAAACATTACTTTATGCTTTAAGACAAAGTAAAATAAATAATGATTATGTTTATTTATATAAATAATTAATTATTTATGTAGATTCATATTTTATTGGTGGATTTAAATATGATGGAAAAGCAGTTTTTGGAGTTATTGAAACTTCTGAACGAATTGAAACAGTAAGATTTATTGAGGACCAAAAAAAGAAGATTTTTTTTTAAAAGCGAATAAAATTCATTAAAATATTTATGTAGAACGATTTCTGTTTTAATTTTTTCGTAGACTTCGAAAAAAAACTAGACGAAAAAAATTTCAGAATCTTTCATTGAATAGATAAACTTTATGTATTGTTTTTTTTCTCTTAAGAATCGTGTATCTCGATTAGTAATGGCTTGTGCTAATCGAACTGAAATTGTACGTAAAGCAATTCTCAATTGTTCAACTGATATGTTTGATCAATCACGTTCATTTGTCTTTCATATTTTAAGTAATAAATTATTAAAAGAAAAATTTCAGTTAATTAACTTATTTTTGGGGGACGGGAAATTTTTTAGCTGCTCTAGTCGATCCAATTCAAATGTCAAATGGTTCAACATTACTTTTTGCAACATTTACTACGAATAAGTAAAGAATTTATATTTCATTTTTTTCTTTATTAACTTTTTTTTTTCTAATTCTAGTTCATCTATTACAGCTTCAGCTGTATGTTTATATGTACTTGATAAACAATTCTATCATGTATTTACTGCTCCATCAAAACAAACCAATAGAAGAACATTAATAATTAATAATGAATTCAATGATTTAATTATAAATTGTAGTCAAACAATTTCTACAACAATTGATCGTGATATGGTAGAATCAGAACGACAATTTCTATCGTATTTATCTAATCCATTATTAATGGAAACAATGTCACAATATACATTTACAGCGATTAATGTTATACAATATGATATTGATCATTATTGTGTAATTATTGGCACAAGTAAAAAATAAATTTTTAACGCTGGAAATTTCATAGTTTTTCGAGAAACACGATCTAAAAGACGTGTTTAAGGATAGAAGTAAAAATTTTGATCTTCCATTAATCGTGACAAGCACTAGTCGAAGATCATCACAGACCCTATATCAATAAAACATGTCGTTACTACTTTCTTCTTGCATTTCTCGAGGACTAAGTAAAAAAGAAATGTGTCCCGAAAAAAGAAAAACGATTTCTCTGTGACTAGCAAGAATAGCTACATCGTTTTTCACATTTTTATCTCGTAGGGATAGTGCTAAGAGGTTTTGTTTTTAGGTAATGGTCATTTATTAACAGCATTTACTGATAGAACCTTTAAAACAAATGTATTTGAAGAATTAATATTACCAATAAATATGCGTTATTCAATTAAATCAATTGCTTATGAAAAAACGTATGTGATATTATTGATTTGAAAATTAATTTATTTTTATTTTATTTTTAGTGATAATAATTCTTATGTAATTATTATAACAAATCATTTAGGATATTTAGTTATTAAATTAATTCAATGTAATGAAAAACTTTGTTTTGTATGTTGGACAAAAGATTGTTTAATACGGAAAAAATTACCTGTAGAGTAAGTGCTTACTTTATATATAAAAACATTTTTTTTTGTTCTGTATATTTAGAACAATGGTTCGACATCATTGCTCATCAGATAATAATAGTATTCATTTAATATCAAATAATGATACCGAAGAAGATATTAATAATCATTCTTTATCAAATGATTGGTCATTACCAAGTTCAGTTTCAGGTAGAAATTTAAATTAAATATATGTAAAGGATTATTTTTTTCTTTTTGTTTATATAGATGAACAGTTAAATAATAAACTTTTATTATTTTATATTATAACACCAATGTCATTAGTTGTTTTTATTCTTTCAATATCAATTATTATTCTTTTAACAAGATCAAATAATCAACGAAAACAAATTCTTCATAAACATAATCTTAAAACAAAATATTTATCATCAATTATTCCTCGAAATGATTCACATACATATACAAATGATATTTTATATAAAACAAATAATAAAAAATTATTTGTTGAAAAAAAGAATTCATTGCATCTTTTTCCTATTAAATCTGAATTATCTATTCGTTCAAATCCTTATCCTATTTATTCATCATCATCATCATATAGTTTACCTTCATTAATATTATCTTCACCATCTCCACCACCACCTTTTATCCCTCCAGCTACTCCACAATTTCTTTCAGTTCATCGTTTATATAAAAGTTATGTTTAATTTTCTTGTTTTTCTTTGTAATCATGTTATTGAATTATACTTGTATTTTTTTATTTGATTTAACAAAATAAATACATTATTCGTATTCTTTATTAATATCAAAATCCACACCCTACAAATATTGACGAATGATGTAATATACATTGAGGAAAATGAATCTATTTAGTCATAGACAAAAGCTGATACCTTTATAATGGGATGGAGTCAGGAAGTCTAGTATTTGTTAGGTGTTTTATCCAGATTTTCTCTTCCGAAAGGACGAACACGTACTTTTTTGGGAGCAAAGACACATGGTTATTACTGTTACTGAAATTTTCTCGCAATTTTATACATATTTAATTAACAATTGTTTTCATTCAGAAACTGTGGATACAATCCACATATGTTACTTTGGAATCAAATGAATTCGTATTCTTTTTCGTTTTGTATACATATCTACGTATATATACATATATAGGTCAAAGTCATGCACTACGGGGGATAAAGAATGTACTACTAGTAGTTTGTTTTATTCTGTGTTTTATGACACATACTATGACAGCAGTTGTCATTCTTTTTCGAAGATGTTCGTTCTTTGTTTAAAAAAAATGAATCATTCTAGGAGGCATTGCACGTAAACCACGACCATTTTAAGCATAACCTTGCTCAATTGATGTCACCGATTTGGCTGATATTTTTATAGTACATAGCCCACATAGAGTTAGGAATAAAATGAAAATTTCAGGTAAAACGGCCGAGCCATTCTTGAGATATGCGCGTTACAAGTATGAAGGGGTAGGCTATAATTAGTATATCTTTTGGAGCACTACTTTTCAGTAAATTTTCATTTTCCAGAGAACGATAAGAGATATAACCGAGATTTTCTTACCATATATACTATCGATGATGGGCTATCTTTTGGTAGTATTAAAAATGTTTTAGTCTCAGATAATATTTCCTTGGTACTATATACCATTTTTAGAAAAGATGTTTCCAGAGATAAGATCAATTGGCCGAATCAGCGCCATAGAATTAGTCGAGACTAGTCTCATTTGAAATAGCAGATCACAATGCGCAGAATGACGTTTTCAGAATTTTGTGCAAATGAACTTTGCTAGCAAAAATTTCTCGAACAAGACTAGAAAGGCCAAATTTGGGGTCCGATTCTCACTGTGAAGATAAACGATTTATTGTGAAATGTTCAATCTAAGTATTTCAGATGAAAGCCCGTGCCGAAAAACCTCTAAATTCAAAATTTCAGCTCATTTGAACATGTCTGTAAACAATTGTGGCAGCTTATTTTTGTGAAACTTTATGAGATGGCATATATAGTCTGTCTAATTTTTCTAATATCCATATTGCAATTAAAGTACAACCAATAGATCTAAAATTTTTACCATGAACTATTCTCATAAAATCCTTCATACATGCGNTCATTTTGTAGCTCTTTCTTTGCTCTATCGATTGGTATGTAAAAGAGCTTGGCTTACACGTAAAAATATGTCAAAACAGCTCTAATTATTGTTCGGATGTGAAGTACTGAATAGTACTCCTGTGAAAGGACAGTATTTTCCATAATTAAATCTTTAATGAAAGAATATTAGTTTTTATATGAAACGATGCAGTATTAAACGCTCTGTCTAACCAATATAGATTGAGCTTGAAACATTGCCTAAAAGTCGTCTATTTTGAGCTAATACTAGACAACTATGAGCCCAATGAAACTTCAATACTTTTTTGCAGGTATTCTCCCTCAAAATAGTTTATAATCCTCACAGCTTGACTTGAAATTATTACCAAAAGAATCGCCACATTTTTCCACATAGGATAGGCGATAAAGTGACTGAAAATATTCTATGGGCCAAATCGGCTTCTTATGCGCCCCTGTCCTTTTTACAGACATGTTCAAATGAGCTGAAATTTTGAATTTAGAGGTTTTTCGGCACGGGCTTTCGTCTGAAATACTTAGATTGAACATTTCACAATAAATCGTTTATCTTCACAGTGAGAATCGGACCCCAAATTTGGTCTTTCTAGTCTTGCTCAAGAAATTTTTGCTAGCAAAGTTCATTTGCACAAAATTCTGAAAACGTCATTCTGCGCATTGTGATCTGCTATTTCAAATGAGACTAGTCTCGACTAATTCTATGACGCTGATTCAATCAATTGGTCCTATACACTGGGATCTTGTTGTTTGAAAATGACATATAGTATAAAGCGAATATTATCTTATGATAAGAGACTTTTGATACCATCAACAGATAGCCCATGGTCAATAGTATATATGGTAAAAAAATCTTGATTATACCTCTTGTTGTTCTTTAGAAAATGAAAATTTACTGAAACATTTTGCGCTGAAAGGTACTTCAAAATTAGCCTACCCCTCATACTTGCAACATCTATATCTCTAGATTGGCTATTTCGTTTGAGCTGAAATTTTCAGTTTCTTCCTAACTTTGTTAGACCTACTTACTATAAAAATACCAGTCAAATCGGTGACATCGATTGAGCAAGGGTAGGCGTGGCTTACGTGCAATGACTCCTAGCCATCTTCCTTGATTTGTTTTTGAATCGATTGTTTTTATGTGTATCACAGAGGCAATTAGAAATTTGCTAAGTATTTTGCTCTATTCTAGTTTTTTCTTTCAAAATACTATCATGTTTACATCATTTTTAGTATAGTTGCTATTGATGTAATGAGCTATTGTCAGTATAGAAATAATTTCGAAACCGTCTGATTGATTGTTTAGACCTTCTTGGAGATTAAGATTTTCAATGTAGAATCCTCATTTACTCTTCCGAAAGTCATATTTTTGATTTAAAATGTTTTAAAAACTTTTCATAATCTATTTAGAAATGGTACATAAATAAAGAATAACTTTCCTTATTATCCTGAGACTATATTAATGGAAAGAGAAAAAAAATTTAGAGTATTCAATGTCGACAAGAATGTATTGAAAACCCAAATGAAAATAAATTAATTTTTTTATAATGATTTTTCATGATTCGTATTACATACGCTTTCGATATCATATATTTAAATGATTCTTCCTTAGAATTCGATCAAACTTTTTCAAATTAGAACTGAATTCATACTTTTAATTTCAGTGGAATTTTCTAGTCTGAATGTTACAGTCGCTCTTTAAACTTTTTTGTCTTTCGTTTTGATCGAATAGATCCTAGTTTGTTTTTTTTTAGTGAAACTTTTTTATTTTTATTTGTTTCATATAGATAAGTGTCTGTAGCGTTGATAAAATCCATAAAAGACCTTAAAGTCTGAAGAAAATGTTTAAGAACATCAAGCACTAGAACAATAAACATAGACACTCACCAAAAAATAAACGGCATAAAAAAAAAGAAAAAGCAATGTTTGAAAATGAAATCCTAAATGTTAAGAAGCAAAACAGAAAAAAAAAAGATCACATACATAGCCATACCATACGAACTAGAAAACCGAACATTTTCTATTTCCATATAGTATTTCTCACGAAAGAAAAAAACAAACAAAACAAAAACTCACATGCACCATACTGCCTGTACATTAGTTATACAAACGAATGCGCAGTGTCAGTTTAAAAAACCACACACACACATTTAAATGCAAAAAAAAAAGAAAAGCAAGCAACAAACAGAAAGGTTGTTTTTTTTGTTTTGGATATATATATATATATATATATACATATTCATCAAAAACTGTTGTGGTTAATCATACGATAAGAATTTTGTCGTGGATATGTACCGTGTAAATGACTATATTCATTAGCAATCATAGGCAAACGTATATTATTATCATCATCAGAATCATCATCACGTATTATATTTGGATTTGTAACACGAATACATGTAGCACAATGGCATTTTTTTAGTACGGGACAAAATATAGCACCAGTTTCATCATACATTGTATGAGCTATTGTCAAAATAAAAAAATAGATCAATAATACAAATTATCTTAAGTAAAAGAACAAATCTTACATGTATAAAGACATTCAGGCATATTATGACTTTTACAATGTCTACATATTGTTTTTGGATAGACAGATTGTTGTTGTTGCGGTTGTTGAGGAATAGTTTGTTGAGTTTTTAATTGAATTATACCATTGAATTGTTCATTTAGAACAGGTGAAAAATGACTTTGTGGACTTTCATCTGGTGATGATATAACACTAGTATTATGAGTTGGTAACCATGAAAAATGTGATAATGATGATGATGAAAATTCATTAACTTTTCGACGAGTTTCAGTTGGACCATTACTTTAATAGAAAAAGGACCTCAATTTATTTATTGCTTTGTTGTTTTTTTAAATTAGTTTATTTACTGAAAATAAGTAAATGGTTCAACCATTGTTTCAGCATCAAATTCATAATTAAGCGGATCAAATGCTGGTTCACGTGAGTGAATATTAGAATTTTCCATGAGAAGTGATGATGCTGCTTTGATAAGATTTTTACTGTTAGTAGGTGAATAACGATACATTATATGTATGAATAAGTGTTTAAGAGTAAAATAACAGAAAGATAAAGAATGAATCGATAGAAACGTATCTGTCGCGTAAAAACGTTAAAAATTATAAATGAATGATAAAATGAATGAAAATCGGTGAAAATAAAGAGGCGCTATGAATCTCTATTTCTCTCTCCCTCTCTTCGTCTTTCGAATTCTTTTCTAGTTGTATGGAATTTCATTAGAAAAAAGATCGAGAGAATGTTACAGAAAATAAATAGAAAAATCGAGAGAGAGAAAGACAACATGGGATAGAAGAACCTGGATGGGATGAAAAATGGCGTCATTTGTCGAAGATATATGTCATGTGATAGTAAACCTTGTTAACTTATAGAAAGGAAAAACAAACGTGCTTTATGAATAAAATATTTTCGCATAATCGGCGGATATTATATTAGTAAGAAAAAAAATAAATGATCCTCGTCGATAATGATCAGTGATAGTAACGAGTTAAATGCCCACTTAAGTCGAAGTGCATCTTTAAAAAAAAATAGATCCTTGTCGAGATGAGTAAATTTCACAATCCGTCGACTAAAATTAGTCTAGAAAGCAAGTGGCCGATGCTGTACTAAACATGACGTCATGAAGAAATAAGGACATATTTCATTCAATAAATGAATTTATGTAAAAGCAAGATGTTAAATCAATTTAACTATTCGAACTGAAAACTGAGAAACACATTTATTAAAAGATTATTGATTTTAATTTGAAGAAAAATTATAGTTAAATTTCTGCGAATAAACTACTCTTTCTTGATAATAATGTATTCGTTCTGAAAAATATATATACTCAAGAGGGAATTTTCATGGTTATTTGATCGATGAAAAATACATTCATAAATTTGAACTTCTCCGTTTGATTTCTAACATTCATCGGTTACTTTGCAAAATTCAATCGTAAATCATTTTCTGTTTTGCGCTTGATTACAAAAAATTGGATGCTTTTTAAATGTCTATATAATGAGTGTTAAATGGAGATTCAACAGTAGTTCATAATGTCGATTTAAAACAAAAATTGATAACGAGAGAACCATCCGAAGTAAGACTCGACCTTTGAACTCTTATTAGATCCAGAGAAAGTTTAAAAGTGTTCATCCTCATAGATTTTTGGGGTCGAGCACGAATTGAGTTACTGAAATTTCAACTCGACTTTTGCTAGTCTTCTCAAGATGTCTTTGCAGGCTCAATATAATCTAGAACGGCAGTAATTTTCTTCATCTATTAGCGATATTGTATTTAGATATTGGAATTTTTTTATGCTCGGATTTAAATACACTCACATATCATTGATTGAATTTCTTTCAATTAATTGATAGACAAGATTTATTCATATTTTCTTTCATGATATTCTTGTTTCCTTTTTTTTAAGATCGCGTTTTTTTACTTTTGATCGACATAGATCAGAACATGCTATGATACAGAGCGAATCGTTTCTTTGTTACAATAATTAAAACATATAGGAAATTAAAATGACTAAAAATTTTTGATATGCACATATTCATTTCCGATGTCGTTCTATATCTATTGTGTACATGAATTTCGTACTGTGAAGTATAAATATTGAAAGGTTATGTAGTATATGTTCGATTGTTCTCTCCTTTTACTTATGACTGCTTTTAAGCGATATCTTATCTTTTCGGGTTGAACTTTTTTCCAAAAAAACGCATTATGAAATTGTCTGCAGAGTTATCCGAAAGTACGTGTATTTCAAAAAACAAAGAAGAAGATTACTTTCAAAGAAGTCTATTCTCTGAAAACAAAGCTCATGTTAACCAAATTTTTTCTCGTTGCTTAAATCTAAACAAGAGTAAAAAGAACAGTATTTATATATAATATAGCAAAATTACCCTACACTAAATATACTAAAATCTTTTTGAAAAAAAGTTCAGTTTGAAACAATAAGAAATAGCAGAAATATTAAGAAAAAACGGAGAAACTTATTTTATTCTGTTGCACTCTTTATCATTGCATCAATAATTTGTTGGTTTGAATCCAATTTATTTTTCTATATAAAAGAAACGATAAACACACTCTATATACGCTATCATACTTTCAGCGTACTACCATAATTATAGTGAATCGCATGACACATATTATGACATAACTATGTTGTTGTTTTTTCTTCTTTTCTATTCTTCTACTTGACATTCTCCTCTGGGAAAGGTCTAATAACTATTCGGGAAAGAATATTGAAAACTTATAACGAAAAACAAATATAAGGCGTGCTTTCGTTTTTTTTCTCTCTTTTACATTCTAATTACTTATACATATGTATGAAATGGGTATATTATCTGATCTTTAGTTATATCATTGTCATTTTAACTTTTATTTTGCATCTGTTACACATCTATCACATTAGATATACTATTCTTGTTTTGTATTTTAACAATTGATTTTTATTTTGTCAAAATGACACATATATCTCGCGATTCTTCTGTAAGTATATATATATCGAAAAAAACATAATGATTTAATCGAAATTCATAATTTTTATTTATTTTATAATATTAGTATTATAAAGATGATGAACGAATAGGTTATTACGGTCAAATATCTTCGGAATATCAATTTGGTTAGTAACTCTTTGTTTTTTTTTCGTTGTAAGAGAAATCAATACTAATTTTTGTTTATTTGTTATTTATACAGAAAAACCAGCAATCGATCGTTTATTAGATTATATTTCGAATCAAGAATCACAAAAACCAGCTATTGATATATTAATTCAAGAATATTTAGAAAGAATTGGTAGTCCATTAACATATCAATCAACACATATAGCACCATTAATGGATATAAGTTTGTATAAAATTGTTTTTAAAACATATTCATTTTCAATATTTTATTTTTTATTTATTTAGCTTTAGAAAATGGTAATGATAATAAAAACACTTGTAGTCAACAAATTCAAATACCAACCCGAAAAATACAATATTATCAATCAACTTCATCATTTTATCCAACGCCATTAACTTCAAGTAATGATATTATGTATGATTCTAATTATGATTATCGAAATACGGCATCAACACCTTTACTTCCGTAAGTTCATAAATAAATAGAAATCAATCAAATGAATTTGTTTTTATCAATAGACCATTATCAGCTCGATCTTATCATTCATCATCAATAGTAACTGATGGAGTAGGAAGTACACCATCAACTCATATTTCTACTTCATCAAATCAAGAAATTCCTATTGTTGATCGATTTGTATGTTGACTTGGTTTTGTTGTTTTAAGTCAAACGTAAAACATTTTGTTTTTTGAATTTTAGACAAAAGGTAACAATAGTCAAGAGCATCGTTTAAAACGTGCAGCTGCTGCAGAACGTCGCAAGCAACACGCAAGTGTTTATTACTTTTAATAAATCTTATGTTAACAAATTTTGTTTTTCTAGGACATTTTGGAAAAGTTCAACCTGGTTTAATTTGGACAGCACCATTACCAGTTCGACCATGGATAGTTTCTATTCGACCACCAGCATTATCTTGCAAGATATTTCTTGGTGGTATTCCACATGATCTTAATCCAAGTAGATATAGCTTAGTTTTCTTGTCTATTAAATTTCTATTGATAAATATACATTTTAATAGGAAATTTACAAGAACGTTTGGAAAACTTTGGTTCTGTTCGACTTGAATGGCCTAATAAAGATAATGTACCAATGCATAAAAATTCATCACATCATAGTAAGAAATCTATAGAAATTTTTTCTTTCTTATTATATGGTTAATAAGTATTTTTTAATAATACCCTTAATAAGAGGTCGCTACATTTTTTATAACCTTCATCAAAAGAGTTAACCCTTTCCGGCCGGATGTTGCCATTTGGCAACATTGAGTCAATATTTCGTGAACGGTTCACTTATAGTGGCGGTTTATAATGCTGTGACAACCCGATAATTACTATAAGACATTTCAACAGGTTTGCCTGATTCACAGCATGGAAAAAACATTTTCATTGGAAAGATAACCTGAACCATCCGAAATGTCCTAAAAGAGGGTCCAATTCGTAAAAATGATTTTTCTCTAGGTCTGAACACTTGATATCAGCGACAGTTAGTGCTTAATTTTCTATGGTAGAGCTATTATATATTGCATCACTAAGATGAATTATTCGGTATACCTAGATAATAAAAAATGGCTATGTTGCCATTTGGCAACACCCGACTGTCAAGGGACAAAAGTTTCAAAAACCGCTATTCGCTTTCATAAGTCAAATCAAGATACTCGATTGTATTTTTCACGGTAATATATCAATCTATTGGAGAAGGAATATCTCTCCTTTCATCTTTTGGAACATACGCTCCACATACTGATCGAAATATAATAGTAGTGCACTGTTGAATCATAATATAAAATGCCGTGGAAAATTTTATAATCTAAAAAGGTATGTTTTTGCAAAAAGTTGACTTTCTTCATGGAAAGCGAGAAGGTATATAGTATTTATTAACTTCCCATCGAAGTCCTTTTCCAGCCGCTGAGCGTTAGTGGTTCAAAAAAGAGTAGTATAGTCATTTATATTAATGACAATGGGACCATCTATCATCGAATATAACCATAAGTGAAGAATTTATTCTTTTCTTTATTGTTCTTTATTAGTCTCTTGAACAATTATAAAAATAAGATATGATCTATATTTTAGTTATTTATCTAATTCTAAGATNAAAACATTTTCATTGGAAAGATAACCTGAACCATCCGAAATGTCCTAAAAGAGGGTCCAATTCGTAAAAATGATTTTTCTCTAGGTCTGAACACTTGATATCAGCGACAGTTAGTGCTTAATTTTCTATGGTAGAGCTATTATATATTGCATCACTAAGATGAATTATTCGGTATACCTAGATAATAAAAAATGGCTATGTTGCAATTTGGCAACACCCGGCTGTCAAGGGACAAAAATTTCAAAAACCGCTATTCGCTTTCATAAGTCAAATCAAGATACTCGATTGTATTTTTCACGGTAATATATC